GATATTCTCTGTTCAGCTTACAGAGTCTCTTAACTTACTCTCTAGATAGGTCTTGAGAATAGATTAGCAGAATCTCTTATAATCATTCTCTAGATAATTCAGCCAGTTCTTGACTTCAGTGTAATAGAGATCTGTCATTATATAGATAACAGCTTCTTCATCTTTTATATCATATAGCTGAGCTTGTGAGTCAATTTCAAATACAAACTTATAAAAGCTTTTATAGATTGTGATTCAATAAGTAATCTTAAGTGATTGTAACTTAAGAAAGTTTCTTTTCAGTTCACAGATGTCTCTGAAGATCATATCTAAAGACTTAGTTTAAGAGTGTTTACAGATAGTAAGTATTTCTTATAGAAAAATAACTTAATTCTGTAAGAGATGCTCAAGAATATTCTTCACTGAGATTGATTTATTCATGAATTCAGAGAGTTTCTCTGTCACAGATATAGAGAATGATATTCTGTAAGTAATTAATAAGTTCTCTGAGACTTCTTTTATAGAGATTATTCATGATTCAGATGACTGCTTCTGAGTGTCTGCAGTAGAGTTTGCAGAAATTGAAGTACATGAGTTTCTAGTTCTTTCAGTTATAACAGATGATTACTGACTGACTGAGCTTGAAATGTAAGAATAAGTGCTCACAGACAATTATTCAGATGTTTACAGCTTGACATGATATATACTGTTAACTACTAGAAGTATTCATAATAGAAAGATAAAATATAGAGATTAAATATATAATAGTATTCAAGCTGAGTTATGAATAGTATTCGTGAACTCCAGTCTATATAGTTGTGTGTAGCCAAGGGCCGCTAGCTCTATTGATTACATGAGAGATAGAAATAGAAGTAAAGAATCCGCGAGGAGCGGGATTTCTTACAGAAACTCACTTATCATGTATTTAATTTGAATGAAGATGAGAAAAGAAAGATTTATACAGTTAGCAGAAAAACTCATCTATTTCTTTATATTATATATAGCACACATGCTATCAAATCAGTTGATAACTGTTATTATATAACAAAGATAATTTCTAATTCAGTAATCTTAAAAGTATAGAGACTATACTCTTAAAGAGAAGAGTATTATTATACTTCTAACTATATTAAGACTCTGTTATAGTTTCACACAGCTTATTACTTTTATATAGATAATTTTATCTTATCTGAACTAGTTTTCAATTACTCTATAACATTATTCAGATATATTATAGAAAGATTTAATTAATAAATATAAGAATCTCACTTCTATATAAGATTAGCAGATTACTTTTTCTTAATAGTAAGATACTGCTGAGATATCACTCTGACTATTCTTACTTATAAAATGAGAGAAGAGTATTTACTCATTGTCTATATAAAATAGCTAGATACTGACTTCTTATAAAAGAAGTCAGTAATTTGTTTTTCTTCTACTGAAATATATACAAGAGTTACTATATATCTCATACAATCTTCTTAGTATACTAAGTACTATATCTGTGATATTCTCATAATAACTCTGTAGTCTATGAGCTCACTATTTAAGTAAGATAGTCAAGCTCACTTATACAGCTTCTTAAACAACTATTTCTACATAACACTGCTAACTAGTTACCGCTTCAGTTCCGCCACATTACAACTTTACATATTTTTTTAATAATTAGTCTCAGCAGAATTTATATCAAGAAATGTATGAGATTAAATTAAATGAAATTAAATGTGAAATTTATAGTTCTAATAGCCAGTCTATCTGTAGAGTAGATAATATAATAGTTAACTTTATAGATATTAGAAAAACTCTAAGAACTAAAAGTTCTTAGATAGATATTATAATCTCTGACTATATACATCTATAATTGAAGAATAATAATAATAATAATAATAATAACTACTAAGTAACTGTATTAATTATTCAGTTATTCAGATATAAGAGAAGTATAATATAAATTAATTAAATATAAGATTCTTATTTTAACTAAGATAGAAATTAAATACTTAATAAATTTTTTATTAGAAATTTAAATAGTTATAAAAAAATAACTGAATTCAGAACTATCTGAATATAAAGAGATGAAAATTAATTAGATATAATCTGTTAAAATAGCTATATACTCTTTTTAAAAACAGTTTATTTTATTATTATCTTTTTTTACAGTTTCTTTTCTATTCTTTTCTATTTACTGTGTTTATTTTTAAGACTTTATTTCTTTTCTTATATTATGTTACTTTCTAAATAATTTTAAAAGTATTAGAAAATATTAAAAATTCTGTAATATATAAGAGATTTTTATATTCTGAGCTGAAATTTTCTAATTTTATATATCTGAAATTGATAAATGTATAATAATTAGCTTTACAGATACTAGAAAAACTCTGAGAACTAAAAATTTTCAGATAGATATTATAGTTTCTAACTATATATATCTCTCTATATATTAAAGAAAAACTAACTTTTCCATGTAAAAAATGCTGTAATGTGACCTCACATGACATCACATGCACTTCATCAAAAATCCATAAATACGTAGTAGTGCCTGCCTATTACATCACTCTATCTACTCTCTATTACTTTCACTTCATATCTCTATCTTCATCTTATTACTCACTCTTATCACCTCTACTACCTCTATCACTTCTATCACTTCTATCATCTCTATCACTTCTATCATCTCTATTATCTTTATCATCACTGTCTCTATCATCTCACAGCTCTCTCTATTACTTTCACTTTATATCTCTACTCTACTCTCATCTTATCACTCACTCTCTTATCATTTCTATCATCTCTATCATCTCTATACTTCTTTCACTCTGACTCTCTCTTATCATCTCTTATCATCTCTTATCATCTCTATTATCTCTATCATCTCTATCATCTCTATCACTTCTATCATCTCTATTACCTCTATCATCTCTATCATCTCTATTATTATCACTGCCTCTACTGCCTCGCAGTACTCTCTATCACTTTCACTCTCTATCTCTACTCTTATCTTATCATTCTACCTCTCTCTTATCATCTCTATCATCTCTTTCATTTCTATCACCTCTATCATCTCTCTCTATTATCTTTTTCACTCTCTAGTCTCTCTATTATTATCATTATCTCTACTACTCTACAGTCTCTTCTATCACTTTTACTATCTCTACTTCTCTCTTACTATCTCTATCACATTTTGATCTCTGTATTTATAGTATATACTGCTAAATACTC